GTGACCACAGGGCCAAGAGTCGGAGAGCCTGTGTTGTCATCCTGCCCCAGCTGGGGGGTGACAGAGCAGCCCGTGGCAAGCTGGTGCAGCTCTTAGACCTCAGCCACCTCCTTTCTAACCTGGGAATAAATAATAATAATAATAATAATAATAATAATAGTTTCATTCACCACAGGGTGGTTTTGAGGGAATCATGTTTGTAATATGGCAGTGCATTGATAAATCATTATCAAAAAGCTTTGATTACTATAAAATAATAAAGTTTCCTTCTTTATCTTGAGTGCTCTGCCCACCTCAAGGTTCTCTACAGTGTTCCATTTCACTTCCCCTCATGTTCTGTTGAGTGGATGAGCTAGAGGAGGAACTGCTATTTTATTTTTATTTATTTTGTATTATGAGAGAGAGAGAGAATGAGAATGAAGTAGCTCCCATCCGACAGTGCACCCCTTAAATGCCGACAATAGCTGAGGTTGGGCCAGGCTGAAGCCAGAAACTAGGAACTTGATCTAGGTTCTGTCAGGTGGGTGGCAGGGGCCCGCCTACTTGAGCCATTGCCTGTTATCATAGGGTATGCATTAAGCAGGAAGCTAGAGTCAGGAGCCTGAACCAGGACTTGAGTCCAGGAACTCCAGCTGCGCTACAGGTCTTTACCGGCACTTAACCACTGTGCCAAATGTCCATCCCAACTTCTATTTTATGAGAGTCTCCGTTGTTCAAGAAACTAGCCATGCAATGTTTAGCTGCTTACAACAACACATCACAGGGGTAATTGTGTCAATCAGAATTCTTTTTGCTATCAGTGACACAAATCTGACTAGTTTGACTGAAAAGAAAATTAGGAGACGGGGCATTTTTTGTCTCATGTAACTTAAAAGTTCCTGGGTAACTTTGACTTCAGGCATAACACAATCAAGGAGCTCAAAAGAATGTTTCTCATTATTCCCCTTTGTCTTTCTAGTTCTGTTCTCTGTGTTGGTGTCATTTTTGTAGTGTATTCTTTCCTGGGGTAGATAGGATAACCCCAGAGCCAAGAAAACTTTAAGTTTGATAGCTTGTTGTGACAATGAAAACAATAGACCTTTTTTATTCTGGTAACCACATCAGATGCCCCATGAGGAGCACATGTGGGACCTGTCAGCCCCTGGACCAGTCGCTGTGCTCCGAGGTGTGGAAAGCATGGCTCTGGTTGGCCAGCCTAGCTGTGTCTATTATAATCACATTTTGCCTGGTGAGGTCCGAGATGAGTTTTACTGCAGTTTTCTTGGGCCAAAGCAAAGCTTGGTTGGTTAGCCTGGGGTAGGCTTTGTCTTTCAAATCAGAATATGTAAGCAGTAGAAAGGGATCCAGAGGTGACTGGGACCAGCTCAGCCGAGGCCAGAGAAAAGAAGGGTCTGGTCCTAGAGGCCCCCTGATGAATCAGTGCCACTCCTCAGCCTTCCCTTGGTCTGTGCTTCCGCTGGTGAAAGACTTACATGAGCTCTCCTATGAGGGCAGTTGCCAGAGAGAGGGGCAAACACTGACGGCCGCGTTGGCCTGCCCTGGCCTGGCACTCCATGCTTTCTCCTCTCCCCTCTTCTCTTTCTCACTTCTCTGTGCCACTTCCTGGGTTGAGGAGCTACTGCGCAGAGCCCCATGTCAGATAGGACTTTGACTGGAGGGGGACTTAACCAGTCCACTGCCTCTTCCTTTACCTTTTTTTTTTTTAATTATTTTTAAAAATTTTTTAGTGAAGGGGGTCCTGGGACACAGACTCCTCCAAATCACAAAATTGACAGAGGAGACATCAGTAGGAAAAGTTATATGACAAAGAGGCCCCTTGCTCGCCCAAGAGGGAAGGCAGTGAGCGAGAGAGCCTCCGTAGACAGTGCCTGGTGCTACTCCCCACTTCCTAAACATGCCTGCAGAGTGTTCCTGTCAACAGTTCTCTTGGTGATGTCGCTGCTGTGTCGTGAAAAATGAATCCAGGGCTCTGTGGAGGTCAAAGCAAGCAGTCATTATCTTGCAGCTGGGAGATGAGTGTTGGCGGGAGACAGGGCTTTGCTTTTTTTGGCTTTGTTTTCTTTGCTCCTTTGAGGAGCCTGTTTGTATTTACCAGCTGACTTCCTCTTATGGGGCTCTGGTTATCATTTGCCCCGTGGTTGTTCCATGCTCCCTGGGGAAGTTGCATAGAGAGCGGACCTCAGTGCACCATGTGTTAGTATCTAAGAACAGTGCGTACCTTCCATGTGTGCCCATGCCTGCTGCCACACCCAGGGTACCCTCCACGTGTGCCCAGGCCTCCTGCTGCTTAGAACCACCCAGGGCTCCTTAACATCTGTAGGGGAGCCCAAGCTTCTTGCATGACCATAAGTGTCTGGCTCACCCTTTCAGCATTTTCCCCTACTGTCCCTCGCCAGACACTCAGAATCATGCCACACAGGACTGTTGATGGATTGCTGAGCACTGGGCCCCTTCTCCTGTTTCTGGACGCCTTTGCATGCAGTGGCCTCTTCCTGCCTGCCTTTATGACCCACTTTGAACGTCACAGCCACTTTCTAGCCTTCCTGATCCCCCCACAGTACTCTCGGCTACTTCACCTGTGCCGCAGTGGCTCACTCTAGTGTCTACATTTCATCTATTGTGTGTCTTCCTGGAGGTGGTATAGCCAAGGGAAAAGCATAAGCTTTGCCTTCTGGTCTGGGTTTTATGAGCTGTCTTTGCAAAAGCATTCAACTACTGGGAGCCTCTTTGGTCTTCACACATAGATGGACAAAGGGAAACCCACACTCAGATGTTTTGCTGAAGAGGAAATGAACCAGCCTGTGATGTGCGCAGCGTGGATCTTGGCATATGATAGCTCTCAACAACTGGTAGTGGTGGTGGTTACGGTGACTGTGATTCTTAGTGAATCATGAAGTCTGAGAGATGAGCCCGACTCCTACTCCCTTGCTGAGTAGCCCTCCGGCTTCTCTGGAACTCTGCCTGTGATGTGGAGTGCACTTTCCTTCTCATCTTTTGTTATATTTCATGTAGACAGTCCAGAGTTACCATGAGTACATTTGGGGGTACTGTTGGACTGTCAGTTGTGTGTGTATGCCTGTCCTGTCCATACTTGAGTAATCTTCAGCCCCGTGCTGTTTCCTAGAGTGTTACTCTTGAGGCTGGGTTGGAAAGTCACCATGGAAGTGAACTTCAAAGCAAGCCTAGGAGTGACATTGAGATTTCTTAGACTCTGTGTTCCTGGGTTGATTAGCAGAGGTGAACCCTGGCCCTGAGAACTAACAACCTTGTCCTCGGGCAGCCACAGCCACTCTATCTTCACTTTTTGAGACCGAAGTATGCAGTGGAGTTCCTTAATTTATCTGAAATAAAATGTTCTGTTACTTCAAAAATTTGAAAATCTCTAAACTAGATTATCTTTCAGGCCCCTTTCTGCCCTCAAAAACTATTATGGCTGTAAAATAAAACAAAGTTTTATATGTATATTTCCACAACCTTCTTTTTTAAAAGATTTATTTATTTATATTTATTGAAAAGCAGAGAGAGAGAGAGAGGGAGGGAGAGAGAGAGAGAGATTGATTGATTTTTCCTCCATTGGTTCACTCTCAAAATAGCTGTCAGTGGCTAAGGCTGTGCCTGCCTGAAGCCAGCAGCTTCTTCTGAGTCTCCTGCATGGGCACAGGGGCCCAAGCATTTGGGCCATCTTCTACTGCTTTCCTGGGCACAATAGCAGGGAGCTGGATCATAAGTGGAGCAGCTGGGTCTTGAGCCAGTGCCCATGTGGGATGCCAGCGTTGCAGGTGAAGGCTTAACTTGCTATGCCATTATGCCGGCCCCTCCCCAACATTCTAATACATGCTTAGTTTTAAAGAAATTTTTGACAATGAAATGAAATCTTGTTTCAGAAACTGTTTTAAAGATTTTTTTTTGCCTTTCCCATCTGATTTGCATAGTTGTAGTTAAAGTTCCTTACTCCTCAAAAAAAAAAAAAAAAAAAAGTGTTTCTCTTGACTCGATGAAAATCACATTGAGGCCCGGAAGAAGTCGGAGGCCGGCATGGGCAGGAAGGCGAGCAGCGCTGTTCACCGTCTCCACCTGTCCTGCTGTCCTGCAGTCCTGGGAGGAGCCATGACTTACAGTGTGCATTCGGCAGCAGTCACTGCTCCTCACAGCACTTCCTTTCTTCAAAGAGTCATCAAGGTAGTCGAGCCACAGAAAATCATTTTGTTGAGGGAATGTGGTGAGGAGCACAAGTTTAAGGATTTTATTTATTTATTTGAGAGGTAGAGACAGAGAGGTCTTCAATCCACTGGTTCACTCCCCAAATGGCTGCAATGGCTGGAACCATGCTGATCCGGAGCCAGGAGCTTCTTCCGGGTCTCCCACGTGGGTGCAGGGCCCCAAGGACTTGGGCCATCCTCTACTGCATTCTCAGGCCATATCAGAGTGCTGGATCGGAAGTGGACCAGCTGGGACTAGAACCAGCACCCATATGGGATGCTGGCGCTTCAGGCCAGGGCTTCAACCAGCTGTGCCACAGCGTTGGCCCCTGATGGGCACAAGTTTCCATATGATAAGGTAATGGGCCCTAACTCAAACTCTGTTCTTCTCCAGTTCGGTTCTCTTTCTAGAAGGGAGCCTCTGGGTGCATTGGTTTTCTTGTGGCTACCTCATAGAGTTGTTTTGGGTATTACATGTGCATAGAATGCTTAGGACTGTGCTGAGGCCACAGGGAGTTTCCAGCACGTTTGTTCATACAGTGTTGATCACTACCACATGTCTGTGTTCTGACAGCAGGATGTCCGAGGTTCACACTGGAGGGAGTGCCTCACATGGGGACCAGGCTCCTGTCTTCCATCCCTAAAACAAATTGCTAAAATGCTTTCTTCTTTTAATACCGCATCCCCCAGGTCACTGTTCCCCATAACTGGTTTGAGTCGGGTAAATAAACTCCACCTTAGTATATTAGCAGCTTGCTGCTGTCTTTGCCTAGTGCACTAGTCAACATTTTGGAACTTAACTAAAAGGCTGGAGCGAAGCTTCTTGGGGAGAAAAGAGTGTCCTTTGGTGTGTAGTGTGTAGCTTTGCAGTTTGGGGTCAGGCAGCCTGTGAATTGGGCATCTAATGAGGCTGCCCTGGTGGAGCAGGGGTGGAGGAGTGAGGACACCAGGAGCCAGGAAGCAGAGAGAGAAACTAGGCAGAATTTGGCTTAAATAAGCAAGCCTCTCTCAAGAACTGTCTCCTGTGTGTGGGACCACAGTGACCTAAAGATCCCCCCCACCAGGCACCCCTCTCATAATTCGATGAAGTCTCCAGCGAGGAGCCATCAACCCTTCCCATGAAGACCTCAGAGTTCAAACGTCTGTGTGTTTGGGGAGCCAGGTCCTGTGAGTCCCTGACCTCTGGTGAAGATGTACACGTGGCCAGGAAACCTGGCAGGGGCTAGACTGAATGGAGACTGCACAGCATGACAAGGTGGTGGGCAGGTACTTTTTTCTTTTTTAACAGTTATTTATTTGAGAAGCAGAGTTACAGAGAGAAAGGGAGAGGCAGAGAGAGAGGTCTTCCATCTGCTGGTTCACTCCCCAGATGGCCCCAACAGTCAGAGCTGGTCTAATCCAAAGCCAGGAGCTTCGTTCGGGTCTCCCATGGGGATGCAGGCAGGGGCCCAAGCACCTGGGCCATCTTCCACCCAGGACATTAGCAGAGACCTGGATCAGAAGAGGAGCATCCGGGACACAAATTAGTACCCCATATGGGATGCTGGTGCCGAAGGCAATTTAACCTACTACAGCACGGCGCCGACCCCAAGGTCCTTTTTGATCCAACATGTGTCATCGTCATACCTTGAGGCAGCGGTAACTTCTGTGCTAGAATGCATGCCATCCCCCGACTCTCACCTCCTTCCAACTCCTGGAAAATGAACGTTAATCAACAAACAGATGACCATGTAGGATACAGACACTGTCGTTTCATTCTTTTGTCAAGGTCACACAAGTGGAACTTGTGTGCAGATAACCTAGTGTGAGAAGTGAGCTGTTGGTGCAGAGAAGGGGCTGAAAGAACCATGACCTGCCCCCTGTATGTCAGGAATCCTCCGTTCCAGTGGAGAAGTAGCCCCTGGGGAAGCCATCGTGGGAGTCTGAAGGCCAGTTCTGGGCTCTCAGGGCTGCAGTCCCTTGGAGGGGGCCCTTTGTTCCCCTTTGCATTCCTGCCTGTGGCTGCCGGCTTCATCTCCCTTCCATCCTCCCCTCTCCCTGCACACCAGGCCCTCTCTTACAGAGTCTTCTACTCTGCTGACCTGGTAGTTCACCTAGGGGGACACCTAGGTGAGCTGCAGGTTCCTGGACCTGAAACTGTCAGCCAGGAGCAGCGGCCGCCCTGCCAGCACCCAACAGGGAACCCTGGAGGAGTATAGACATTGGGGGGTCGGGGAGATGGAGAGGGAGAAGGAGAGAGGGAGGAGAGAGAAACTCCTGCTAGTATCAAGACTTTCCAAGCATGGCGCTGGTCATTTTCATCTACCAATTGCTTTAATATTTCACAACGCACCTGGCTCCCCGGCAGGCACCTAGGTGAGGCTGTACAGGGAAGCGTTAGGCAGAAACTCTGCCACCCACGCCGCCGCCGCCCTGGGCTTTGGGAGGACTCGGACCTGACTTCCCTTCTCCGGGATCTGCGTGACCACCTCAGTGGCACGGGATCTGGAGCCGCCCACGCAGCCGACTGGGGGCTGCGGTGCCCTGGGGTGCCCTGCGGGGGCGGGCGCGTGCCCTGAAGACGGCGCGCCCCTCCCTGCGCGTCCGCGGTGCCAGCCCAGACAGGGACAGCGACTTCTCTCACTTGTCAGTTTTCTCGCTCCGCTCCTCAGCCGAGCGAGCGGCTGGTAAGTGAGAGAAAAGGGAGAGGGGCGGGGTGGGGGAGGGGGCGCGGCCCGGGGCGGAGCTCGGCGGCTCGGCCCAGGGTGGGACCACCCCGCCCGCGCCCGCTCCCCCAGGCTCTTGCCAGGGGTCCCCTTCAGACTTTCTCCTTGCCATCTCTCCTCCCCGCCCTGTCTTCCCTTTCCTCCAAATCCTCAAGCTGCCACCCTGGTGGCTTCCGTGGCTTTGTTTAGGGAGGAAAAAAAAGTATCTAAACAAACCCAAGGTGCTCTCTCCTGGAGCGAGAGCACAGTCCCTATCTGTGTCGCTGGGCATTATCCCAGCGCCATGGCTGGTGCCCGTGGCTGCTTCCAGGGAACCCTTGGGGTCAGGATCGCCCCCCATCCAGGCCCGCTCTGAGTCCGGGTTTGGAGACCGCGTGAGGGGAGCGCTCAGAGAAAGTGACAGTGACAGGCACGCGCGCGGCGCCGGGCTGGGCAGAGCTGCTGGACCCTGCGCGGAGGCGGGGAGGGGGCAGCCCAGTTTCTCCCAGCCTCACCCGCGGTGGTCCTCTACAGCTATGGAGTCCCCAACCAAGGAGATTGAAGAATTTGAGAGCAATTCTCTGAAATACCTTCAGCCAGAACAGATCGAGAAAATCTGGCTCCGGCTCCGAGGGCTGTAAGTAAACCTATTTGCTTCTCTCGTCCCATTCCCCTGTCCCATCCTTATTCATTACACAGCCGCAGCCTCACCTGCTCATCCCGTGTCTGCAGGGCCCTAGAAGTTCCACAGCTGCTTCCTTGTAAATTACAGTCACTGCCACCTTCCTGGCCGCGGGCAGGGGGCTGTCTCTCCTTCTCCGTGCCCCGCCAACCTCGCACTGCTTTCTCTGGGTAGGAGTGATGTGCTGAGATAAATCAGTGGTAGTAACACACTACATAAGGAGGTGTTTCTGGTCCTTTCTATCCGGGAAGAAAAGTCTGGGGGCCGTGGTCAGGGACTTTTAATCAAACAAAGAGTTTTCTCTACAAACCTGGGCTTGGTTGCAGTGCAAATTCAGCATGCAGTCCGGCTGTTACATTGTCTTCTCTTTCTCCCTTGTGTGGTTTAACTTCTTATATTTCCTTGGGGTTCTTTCTGGCAGGAGAAAAACAAAAAGGCTTATTAGGAGGAAAGGCTGCTTTGGAGAAAGTGGAAATGAGAAGCAATACTGGGTTTCCTGGCAGGGTTAGAAGAGTGAAATAGGCCATTTGGTTTGGGTGCCGCGGCCAGGATTCTGGTGGACTGATTGGAGGAGATCTCTGAATTCGTTTGAGTACTGAGGAGCTTGACCTGCAGATACCTGGTGTTTCCCGTGAGAAGTGAGAAGCTTTCACAAACCAGGAACTGCCCATCACCCCCGGCAGGAAGCTGGGGTGAGTGCACGTTTGTGGCTTGCTCCTCCGTAATCCGGGAGCTCCTAGATACCTTTCGGGAGGACCACGTGCTCCATTCATCACACATTAGGCGTCCTATGGTTTTAAGAAAATAGTTTTTCTCCGAGTGTTCTTGTGTGCTCCAGGTACTAGGTTCCTCCCAAGGGCATGGATGGGAAAACTAGCTTTGCACGAGTTTGTTTGTTTGTCTGCCTTTATTATTTCTGAAAGCACACACACACAAACAGAAGACAAACGGGGTCAAAAGGCACTGAATAAGTGAGCTTCATCTCAGGGAAGACCACGTCCTAACCAGGACACTGAGTTTCCAAGAGGAAGTGATAGGTCACTGTGTTTCTTTAAGGGGAGCCTCATTGAAAGGTATCATTTATCAACGCTGCTCCATCAGTCATCCAAGTGAGCTTCATGCCCATTGCATTTGGCTTTTGACTTCTCTGGCTGCTGCAAGCAGTGGCTATAACGAACTTTGCAATCTTGTCTCCCTCCCTGGCAAGCTGTCCTGAGGGTTGAGGGGCCTGCAACACAGCCACTGTTGGAGAGCGGTGTTTACAGTAAGCTCTTGGTTGTGTGTCCCATCACATTGTGTTGCACGCAGAAAGTTTGTTGTGTCCACAAAGTCTGGGTCCGAGGCGAGCAACTTGGAAGTGTCGGTGACGGTGAGCTGAGCTCCCTGCCCTGCCGACGAGAGGCGGTCACTTCCACACACTCGGGCATTGCTTCTTTTAGGCTTTCACCATTCAGCCTCACGCCACTACTCCAAGCAGCCACTCAGCCTACAGATGAGCGTTCTGTCAGCTCAGCAAAGCCAGGGTGGGCACTTACGCAGAAAAAGCACTTAGCGCATGCACCTGCGGTCTTGGAGCTTCCTGGGTTTGGTATCCGACTTCTCTCCCTGAGGTATTGCAGTACGATGTGTTCACCTCCTCCTGAGTGTGGAATGGGCAGGTGCAGGTGATCCTTCCCCAGTCTGTGTTTTTTAATCACTCTGCTTTTCCTTCCTACTGAAACACTTGCCCAGCACTGATCCCATGGGAGCTTTAGCTTCACTCTCATTAGAAAAGGGTATGTTATTTATTATATACATTTTTTACTGTCATTCTGATTCTGAGTACCACTTTTTTTTTTTTTCCAAACGAAACAGCAGTGCTAGGTTATGTTGCTAAAGACTCCGGAAACCAAAGCATGTGTTCCTTTCTAGGACTTGGAATAATGCTTTTGCAGTCCACAATAGAAACCCTCAGGAGATTGGAGACTGCACGTATGCTCTGTGGACAGGGAAGATTGTCAGTGAGAGAAAGAGAAGCTGCACTTGGACCATTTCAGAAAGACCCAGTAGCCACAATGCGATTCTCATGTTTCAGTGTATTATCATGATCTCCTCATGGAAAGGGCTTGTAAGTGACCACAGATGGATGGAATTCCGTCCACTCGTCTGAGAGCCAGCCAGGTGTGGGACATGAGCATTTCACACCCGGATGACTTCGTAGGATCTCATCTCATCCCATTCGTGTCAGTCTCGCTCCTGTTTTTGTTGAATTTTGCTGTTTCCTGTATTGGAATTTAAGTTCCTCAAGGGCAGATGTTTTGTGAGTCTTGCTCATTCACTGCTATACCTTGAGGGCCTGGAACAGGGTTGAGCACACAGTAGGTGCTCAATTAGTAGGTGGTAAAGGAAGCATAAAGACTGTGATGTGACTTAATAACATTTAAAATGAAGATAAATGCACATTCGGGTCCATGGCCACATGCCAGGAGTTAGCCAGAAGGCAGGTTGTATCAACGTCATCACCTAGGATGGAGCACGGACATCCAGACGGAGGTAGGAACTGGGCAAGCGTGGCAAAGCCGTGTCCCACGTGTAATCCTGCTCTTGTCCCCTTTGCTCTCCCCTTGTGTCTCCGATTTTCTGCAGTGGTGAACAGTGGTCTTTCCTGGCAGTGAGCGGAGTTCTGGGATGATCGTCTATATACTCCAATCCTTACCCATCCCCTGTCCTAGCTTTCTCTCTAGTACTCCTTGTCATCTCAGTGTTGTCTATTTATTTATTTTGTTTATTGTCTGTCACTCTCAACTGGAATATAAGCTTCATGAGGATGGGGACTCCTGTCTTCTGCTCACTGGTTTGTCCCCAGTGCCTGCGATGCCACCTGTATGTGGTACATCATCAACACGTACTTGAAACTTTGAGGTGTGGTACATATTTCCCTAGGAAAGGATTAGGACAAAAGCCTAACCTAGCCGTGTAGCATTGGCAACATACAAATAGTCCATCTGGCCCTGGAATTGGGAGTTTTAGACTCTGTCTGTGGAAGCTTAGGTGTGCTAGCCTGGTGGCTCTCTGTGCCTGAGTAAGAGGCTGCATACTGACGCAGGTGGAGAGGCTGACGGGGGCTAGAGTGACATGTTCTTCAGCCTGCCTCTGCGGCCCTGCCACCTCTTGGAGACACGTCCCAGTTTCTCTAAGCTGGGGGAGAATGAACACGGCATTCCTCAGCTGTCATAATTCAGTCAGTCGGAGGGATGCTGTCCTCTCACTCTCCCCAGAAGCCCCATGTTTGTTCTCTGTCAACCTTGGTTGTTCTCAGGAGCTGTAGTCCCGCTTCTTTCTTCTCTAGGAGTGGGTGGAACTGTTAAGAGCTCCCGGATCAGTTTGTTGCTGTGGAATCTTCCAGTGTGGGAACATATGGTGTGGATGTTCTCTGTGCCCCGGATGATGTGGGGAAGCCTCATGGCTGCTTGGGTTTGCACGGTTGGGTCCTGACCAAGGGTTTCTCTTTGCTGGCCTACTGCATGGTGGCCACAAGGTATTTCTGTGCTGTGTTTTTTAAAGTTGAGAGCATAAGACAGGTTTCACTTATTCCTTGGTGTTGATGGCCACAGTTGTAATGATGTAAGCTCTCTTTTTGGCCAACTATGAGGTAGTCGGTATAATAAACTTTATGTTTTATGAAGATGACAAAGTGGTTTCTGCACTATGTAATACTGTGACAGTGAAGGTGGGCGAATGGCTATTAGGTTAGTAGATTGCAACAGCTACTGCTCTCATAAATCCAGCAGACTTTCCCAGTCCCCTCACTGTGGTGCAAGAGGTCCTGCTGCTCCCTACCCCATCTCCTGCACCCCAACATAGGGGTGCAACACGATAGAATTTCACCTCCTTGCATCAGTGGCTGGTCAGGCTGGGTCTAGAACCCTAGCAGGAACACAGTGTTTGACTGAGATTTCACTATTGGCCATGGAAAGTGTTCATTCCTCTTCTCTGGGTGTTCATGGTGACTGTTAATTCATATATAAAGACTTCTCTAAGCAGAAGGCAGTGAGACCAACACTCAGAGACACAGAGGTGAGAAGATGGAGTGGAAGTCTTTTAGGGGGCTCCTGGGGCCCCCAGCTCCTGTGAGTGTTTCCTTGGAGCAAGTCAAGTGCTTTCTGCTTAGGTTGTTTTAAATGTGTTTTTTTCTGAAAGAGCCCTAATACCCCACTGATGTCCACAGGACTACGTTACTTCTGAACTACACAGAAAGGTGGGTAGGGTTCGGAATAAGCTGTGGGCAGGGAAACCTGTGTCTTCAATTTTAAATTTCTTGTTTAGGACCTCTTACTCAGTTTTTTTCTTTTTAACTGATTTTTTAAAAGGGGGGTAAATAATGCTCAGGCAAACGTAATGTTACTTGACTAACATTTGTCAAGTACCTACTATGTGCTGACTGCTCTATTAAGCTATGGGCATGCAGAAGTAGATAAGCCACCTGACTTTGGGCAGTTCAGAGGCTGGAAGGAGAGACTGACATGAATACTTGGAAGTGATGAACATGGTTTTGAAGGAGTGCAAGGGAGGCCAGGGAAGATGTGCAGCAGTGAGCTGGGTTGGCGTCTCAGACAGAGCCTGAGAGTCACAAGGAAGAAACTGGCACAATTTCCTTTTAATGATATCAGCTCTTTGCAAAGATGTGAGAGAAACGAGGAGCCACTCGGTCCGTGCTGAGTAAACCAGCCCAGGGTTCGGAGCTGCTTTTATGGACTCCTGGAAAAGCTGTTGGTGCTGACTGGGGTTACGATGTGAGTCCTACTGAGCTCTCTGTGTTCACCTCTCATTGATAATCCCCAAAGAAGAGGGAGTGGTTGGATCTGTTTGTTGTAGGTTAACATGGAATTACTGGATGAAAATCTCCCGAATCACTTTATAAGTAGTTAGTACTTAAATTGGTGCAGGTAGCATTTTCCTTCCTCTCCAAATCAGTGCTCAAGATCATCAGTTACTTTTCTTCAAAGGTTTCTGTGTGGGGTCTTCCTGCAGCTTCTCCAGTGCAATGTTGATGGATAGCAGTTCGTGAATGGAGGGAACAGCATGTGCAAGGAATGGAGGCATAGGCGACCTTTCACCTCAAGGAGCAGTGAGAGAGAATGATGAAAAGGAAGACAGGGGCCAGCGAGTGATCCATGGAATTAGAAAAAAAGATTCCTCTTTGTCTTATTCACAAGTAAACATAAGGATTTGAACACATTTTACTCACAACAAAAAGCGATTTGTTCTGGGAAGTCCCCTTCCCTATTTTCCAGAGAAATTTTCTTTCTTTCTTTCTTTCTTTCTTTCTTTCTTTCTTTCTTTCTTTCTTTTTTTTTTTTTGTGCATGGTATTTTAAAGAATTTAATTTTTCATTCTTTCAATTATAAAGAATTGTGAGACTACTTTAAGCTAGAGAGTAACAAAATGATATTTGAATTTTATTTTTACAATATTCATTCTTGGGGCCAGTGTTTTGGTGCAGTGGCCTGGGCCTCCACCTGCAACCCTGATATCTCATATGTGCCCCATTTCAAGTCTCTGCGAGTCCACTTTCTCCAGCTCCCTGCTGATGCACCTGGGAAAGCAGTGGAGGGTGGCCCAGGCATTAGGCCCCTGTATCCACATGGGAGACCCGGATGGAGTTCCATGCTCCTAGCTTTGGCCTGGCCATTGTGGCCATGTGGAGAGTGAACCAGCAGATGGGAGACTTCTCTCTCTCTCT